GTTAAAAGAGCCGCTGAGATCCTCCTTCCTTGCGGGGCTTAATTGAGGTTGCCATTTCGGCTCTTCAAAAGGAGACGCGCAAAGGGAAACGTTGTCGCTTGTAGCTGTTGTGAATGGCCCACGAGGGGTTCGGTCGGCGTAGAAGGGTTAGAAATCCTTTGAAGGTTTCGCATTCGACTTTCTGCAGGATTTTTCGGGTCTCCTCTTGATCCTCTTGGACGGGCATGTGGGCAGTTTCATCTAATCTGCCTGTAATAATCGGATCCGATAAAGTGGACTTGTAGGGTTTTTTTATATAGTGGCTGTCTCTCCAGATGGTCTGTTATCTATTCCTTTAGTATCTTCTGTCACTGAGTCTTGAATCTTATGGCTTATGAAGAGGGTAACTGTGATTTATGACCTATGACCCATCACTTCATTGTTTGTATGTACACTGAGAACTTATGCACTGGAGACCAATTCCCTGTGTGTCCAAAAACACTTGGCCAATAAAGAATTCTGTTCCATTCTATTTTATCCTATCCTATCCTATCCTATCCTATCCTATCCTATCATTCTATTCTATTCGACTGTACTCTATTCTACTCTATTCTATCCTATCCCTTATTCTATTCTATTTTGTTCAATCCTATCCTATCATTCTATTCTATTCTACTCTACTCTACTCTACTCTACTCTACTCTACTCTACTCTACCCTACCCTACCCTACCCTACCCTATCCTATCCCTTATTCTATTCTATCCCTTATTCTATCCTAACCTAACCTAACCTAACCTATCCTATCCTATCCTATCCTATCCTATTCTACTGTACTCTATTCTACTCTATTCTATCCTATCCCTTATTCTATTCTATTCTGTTCAATCCTATCCTATCATTCTATTCTACTCTACTCTACTCTACCCTATCCCTTATTCTATTCTATCCCTTATTCTATCCTAACCTATCCTATCCTATCCTATCCTATCCTATCCTACCCTATCCTCTATTCTATTCTATTCTATTCTATTCTATTCTATTCTATCCCTTATTCTATCCTATCCTATTCCATTCCATTCCATTTTTCATTCTATTCCATTCTGTCTTGTCCTGTCCTGTCCTGTCCTGTCCTGTCCTGTTCTGCTCTATCCCTTATTCTACTCTATATTTGTAATCATCGCACAACACTAGTGCTTATAAAGCAGGACTCCCCACACTTGGCAACTTTAAGACTTGTGGACTTCAACTCCCAGAATTCCTCAGACAGCCACGTCTTTATTTTTGTGCAGCCGTGCTGGCTGAGGAATTCTAGGAACTGAAGTCCACAAGTCTTAAAGTTGCCCAAGTCAGGAGATAACCCCGGTTATCAAGGTTTGAGCCAATGAATCTGTGGATGCAGGAAAGGATGTTCACAGTCTTCCTGTCTTTTCTCACAGTACGTCGAAGAACTCCTCCTGACCAAGCAACCCCTGCTGGTCTTCTTGGAAGAGGTCTCCTCTGGGTCTCAGCAGCTCTCCCCCTCCGGTAGAGCCTGGCTGAGCTTGGTGCTCAGTGCTTATTACACCAGGGCCATCCCAGACATCCTGATAGTGCCCATTGGCATCTCCTATGAGAGAACTCCTGACTGCATTCACAAGGGGAAGGAGGTAAGTGTCAGCTTTAAAATTCAGCTGTCCCATTTCATGGAAGGCGGGATGGAGGAGTTGAAAAGTTCAAGGTTATTCTGTATGTCGTGTTAAGAAATTCCAGTTGCGGTTAATTGGTTCTCGCGATTTATGAAGTGTAGAAGTGGGATGAGAGAAAGGAGGAGGGAAGGTGGATTCTGTGTAACGCTCAAAAAATAATTTCACTTTGGGAAATCGCCTTTGACATGCCAGATCTGTTCCTAAATAAATCAATTGGAGAGAAAATGTCTCAGAGTGATTGATATCATGGATGCTTTCTGGTTGCCTTACAGTAAGGACAGCAGCTGCGGCCAAAAGGCCCCAAGAATCAGGCTAAGCGAGGTAGAATGAAGGAGAAGCTTCCTAACTGAGGACAACTAACCAGTGGAACTGCTTTCCACTAGAAGATTTGAATGTTCCATCACTGGAGACTTTCAAGTAGAGACTAGACAGCCATTGGTCCAGAATGATTTAGGGCAGTGATGGCAAACCTTTATGTTGTGGTGTGCTGAAAACACGCAGGTGTGCCAGCACCCACAATGCAATGCAGCCCAAACCCGCTGTAGATGCGCACGCAACACCCTCCCCCTTACCTTCACTGCACATGTGCGTGCCTCCCAGCTGATTTTCGGCCCGTTTGAGGCCTTTTTTGCCCTTCCGGAGGCTCGAATGAAGCCTCTGCAGCCTTTGGAAGCCGAAAAACGGGCCTTCCAGAAATACCAGAAGTGCCGAAACGGCCCCGCTTTTCAGCCTCCAAAGGCTGCAGAGGCTTTGTGTGTCATAAATCAGATTCTCCAAGGAGGCACATTCACGGGCTGGGTGTCATCAATCACATTCTCCAATGAAGGATATTCAGGGGCAGAAGATCCGGTAGCCTAGGCTACAATTTTTGTAAGATAAGTGTGGAATGTACTTCTGGTTTTAATTGCCGTACTGCTCCTTCAGGTTCCCCCCCCCTTCCTGCTTATGGCAACTCGAAAACGAGCACAGGAATGCTTTACGAGTTGACAGGTGGTTTGCTTGCAGATGTTTCGTTACCAAACTAGGTAACCTCATCAGTGCTAGAGGGTGAGGATTAGGGTTTAGCTAGCCCTGACGAGGTTACCTTGATTGGTAATGAAATGTCAGCAAGAACTGCAAGAAATACCTGAAGGAGGATTTTAAAATTCTGACCTCTCACCTGCAGCCTATCATGGGGCCGGTTTCCACAGGTTTCTGTCCAATTCTGTGGCCCTGTCTTGTCCAGATCCAAACTAAAGCCAAGCAAGTGATCTTCGGCCACGATTGGGGGGTTTCCTCCAGCAAAGGGGTCAAAAAAGAAGTCCTGATGTTGACCACAACTGACATCTGCACTGCTTCTTCTGTTTTCCAGAGCCCCACCCGGACTCTTGGTCTCTGGACCACCGTGTGGTCTCTCTGCCAAGCTGCTTGTTGTGGACAGAGCTATGTCCGGATTGACTTTGCTCAGCCCTTCTCTTTGCAGGTAACCACTCTTTCTCCTAAAATAAGACCCACCCCGAGAATAAGCCCTAGCATGATTTTTTTTAAAGTGTGCGCCTAACATAAGCCCTCCCCCCTCCAAAAAATAAGCCCTAGTGAAGGGATTGGTGGAAGCACCTTCTTCAGACGTGCAAAACTCTGACCATAACCTTAGAGTAAACGTAGGATTCGCATCAATGGCGGTATTCACCCAACAGCCGGAGTGGGCGGGAGGGCCCAGCAGCTGCTCGTTGGAGCGAACTGGTTCTCTCACAGACGATCCTCGGAGCTACTGGTTCAGCCTGCCGAACCAGTAGCTCCCAGGATCATACGTGAGCAAACCAGTTTGTTCCGACGATCAGCTGCTTGGGGGGACCTGCCCACCCTGGCTGTTTTCTGACCTTTATTTTCTGGTTTTCAAGCTCAGCTGCTTTGCCTGGCACAGTGGAATTTTTTTAAAAAAAAAATTACTTATTTATCTATCTATCTATTTATTTGTTTGATTCATATTGCCGCCTATTCGCCCATGGCGATTCAAGGCGGCTTACACAATATAAAATCATATTTGAAACAAAAAACAAAAACAATAAAAACTAACAAGAACAATCAAATAAATTCCAGAGTCATCAATCAGGCTCTCCAGTTAAGAGTTTTGCACAGCAGAAACTTCAGTCACCTACTTACTATCTTCGAAAACATTTATGGAATTCACTTTCAGTTTGCAAGCTGCCACACTACTCTTTCAAGCCCCTTTCCCCCACCCCCGCTCCCTTTCTGTTGGCAACTCTTAACACGACCATGGAAATATTTTATAACTTTTGAAAACCTCCAAGTGATGGGAGCACCCGCCGCTTCTGAAGGGGAGCTTTTTCACGGACTGATGGTTCTTCCTGACTGCTGAGATTCCCAACAAGACTCTCTGGCTTTCTCCCTAGGACTTTGTGACCAACCGGTGTTTCCGGCAAAGTGGCTCCAGGAAGCCCTTGAGAGAACTGCTCTTACCCGAAATTCTCGGCAGGGGGTAAGTCTACGCCAGAGTTGTGGGGACGCAGAAGCGGCTATGGCTGGGCCGACCCCCCCTCCCCTGGACTGGGAAGATGTGAAAGTCCCCGCTGCAGGTTGAAAAGACTCAACATCTGGCTGGCTGCTAGGAAGGCAGGCAGAAAGGGGCTCAAAAAGGTCCCCCCAGGTCACTTAGACAAAGGTCTCTTCTAGACGGGTTGGTGGAAGTTGCGAGAAATAGAAGAGAACAGAACAGAACAAGAACAGAATAGAAATAGAATAGAAACAGGAGAGGAGAGAACAGAACAGAATAGAAATAGAATAGAAATAGGAGAAGAGAGGATAGAATAGAA